AACTCCAAGAGTTCACTAAGTATACCAGATGAATACCAGCTATTCGTTTCCTAGCAGTCAAGAATGAGTGACCTACAAGGCCATACAATCAAGGTAACTTAAAGCTCATTAACTAAAACTCGGTCTTCCAAAAAGAGTTTGTATGCGTATATGGATTTCATAAGTTTTGGTAGATTTTAATCAAATTTGGAAAATTACTTACATTGGTTTTAAATCGTTTACGCCCAAAAATATGCAATAAATAGTTCTATGTTTGAGTTTAATAAGAAACAGATATCTTTTTCTACAGATTTAAGGGCCTAGGTAAGGGGCCTCAATATATACATATATAATTATTTTTGTTTTGCCTTCGTCTTCCTCTACATTATTCTCCTCCTTGTGTAAAGACTAGAGTATGGAAACTTTAAAATGTGTACGGTCTGCCGCCATCCTTTTGTTTGTATGCAAACATATTTACGTACATATTATTTCACACATACTTGCATATGTCTGTACATATATGTAATTAAATGAATTGCTGCTATCATTGCATTATTTGTTTGCCGCCGACTTGCACTTTTTTTCTCTTTTATAATTGTAAATATACAAAAGCATATGTGCGTATCTCAGATTTTGCCTCGCCGAACCACAAACATTCGACATGAAAGGAATTCGCAAAAAAAAGTGAATACAAAAAAACGTCATTTGTGTAAAAAAAAGCACTTAATGCACTCACTGCGTAAATTTTGTATGAATTTACAAATTGGAATTCCTTTTATTTTTTTTTATGCCGGCAATACTTTGTATAATTATATTTGTAGGCTCATTTTATATTTTATTTTACTCATTTATTTTGTATAATAATTATTTTTTAATTATTTATTTTTTATTTATTATTTAAAAAATTATTTGTTTTATTCAATCATTTTCTAACTTATTTATTTTATTTAATATTATTTATTATTTGGTTTAATCAATAATTTTATTTGTATTCATTTTTTATGATAATTATTTTTTATTTTAGTTAATTTTAAAAATTTCTTTGTTTTCTTCAATCATTTTCTAATTTACTTATTTTATTTAAATTTATTTGTTCTTTTTTTTAATTAATTATATTTTCTAATGTGTAGTTTTTTATTTTATTTATTTTATTTTTATTTTGATTTCATTTTATTTTAATCTATTTTAAATGGTTGCGAGTTTTATTTATACACTTTTTATTTTACCTAGTTTTTTATTTTAATTACTTTACTTTTTTAATTAATTATTTTCTATTTTAATCATTTATTTATTAGACTAGTTGATTTTTGTTTTAATTTGCTTTGAATAAATCTTTGTTTTATTCATAAATTTTTTACTGTACTTATTTTTGCTTCAATTTATCTATATTGTTTTATAACTATTTATTCCTTTTATTAATAATTTTTTTATTAAATCTTTATTTTTTATTCTTCTCACCAATTTTTGATATGAAATATTAATTTTTATAACTTAATTTAGTTTTTGTTTTATACATTTATTTTTAATATTAATTTTTTATCTCAGTGTTTCACATTTTATTTTATTCACTTATTGCCTGAACTACTTAGTTTTTATTATAACGATTATTATTATTCCTTTATACTTCAAAAAATTATTTATTTTATTTATACTTTTTTTATTAAAATTTAATTTTCATTTTTTATTATTATAAATAAGTTTTTCATTTTAAATAAATTATTATTATTTATTTTATATAACTGTTTGTTTTATTCATTTAATTTGATGTATTTTTTTAATTTTATCAATGCAAGAAATGAATGAATAAAATAAAAAATAAATAATGCAAGTAAAAAATAATAATTATAAAAAATTAATGAAAAAAAAATATATAAACAGAATAAAATAATTATTAATCTAAAAACTATTTTATATTATTTTTTCAATCTATTTGTTTATTTATATTTTTTGCATTGTTTTTTTTTTAAATTTTCTTTGTTAAATTCGTTATTTTTTTATTCATTTATTTCTTGTAATAATTATTTTTCCATTTTAATATTTTACAAAACATTGTCTGTTTTATAAAAAACATTTTTTTACTTAATTTTTATTTTAAATTAATTAATTTGCTTATTCATTCATTTATTCATTGTTCTTAGATTTTCTTACCAACAAGTTTTTAATTTATATTTTTAATTATTATTTATTTTTTCATTCATATATTTTTTATTCAGTCATTATATATATATATATATATTTTAATTTTAATATTATTTATTTAAAATAATTTTTTTATATTTCTATAAATATTTTTTTTTATTTATATACAATTTTTATTTCATTTTGTTTTAAATAATTGTTTATTTTATTCTCCCTTTCATTACTCAAATAATTTTATATTATGTTTGTTAGCCATGTTTTTATATATTATTTAATATTTTTTATTCTTTTTATATTTTATTCAATTATTTTTCATTTCTATTGTGATTAATTTATTTTCTTTTATTAATTTTTTTTTTTCAAGTAATAGTTTGTTAAATTAATTTTTTCCTATTTTAATGAAATTTTTATTATTTTAAGTAGTTGGGTTTTATTTTGGTTTTTTTCGCAACTAAATCAAGAATTTTTTATTTAAGTTTATTTATGTTTTGTTATTTACATTTTTTTGCTTTTGTTTGTTTCTAAATTTTTTCTCTACATTTTACGCACCCATTTTCTAACCTACTTATCTTTCTCCTTCTCTTGCCTTCTCTGTCGCTCCTTGTCCTTGCTTAATCTATTTATTTATTTACATGTTTATTTTATTTTAAGAATACCTACAGGCTGCATTCACCCACTTCTTTTCTTTCCATCTCTTTTCTCTTTAACCTTTGCATACTTTTTGTTTCTGCATTCTTCTTAATCTATGCAATCCAGCACGGCGTGTGTACTTCAACTTGCAGTAATGCATTAGCGTCAGGAAGTGTGAAAGCATGCGAGTACCGGATTTTTTTTTATGATTTTCTCTACATAATAATTGTTTACATCACACGTCTATTCAGTAACTTTTCTTTATGCTGTTAATGGCGAAAGAATTGAATTTAATGGGTTTTAGGAAATTTTCATGGCATTTCAAATCTTTATAGTAAAAAAGAGAAGAAATTCTAAAAGCAGCATAGTATGAAGTAAAAAAGTCAAAGGAACCCGTTTTCTAAAACTCGTCTTCCTCAAATATTTTCTTTTCGATCTTTACTAGTTTCCAGAGTATCCTTTTTTTCATTTTTTATTTTAATGTTAGATAATAAAAGTAATAAAATATTTTTTATGTTTCTATAACATTTATATTTGCATAAATTTATATAAAACTACTACTTTTGAATCTCTTTTTAAGGCAGAACTGTGTTCATTTTCACTTTTACGCCTAAATGTAGGCAAACAAATTGAAACTATTATTTTTTTAAGTTTAAGATGTAGATATTACGTATGCAATAAAAAATAATTATGAATTATAGCAATGCTTTATTTCCTATTTTTTAGCTTGACTCCGAAATGTAGGCAACAATATTTACGCATTTATTGATCCCAAATTTTTTAAATTAATTTGTTTTGCATATTCATCACTTTATCTATATATTTTGTATTTGCTGGGCTTGTAAACTTTAGTTAAAAAGAATGAAAATTACTTCAAATTCCTTTTTGTTTTCGTATGAGCGCTCCCAAATGTAGGCAACGAAATTTATATATTTCCCTTGAATTTTTTCATATTGCTTTCACCATGATATTTCTATGTATATTTTTTCCTATGATTTTTACCTGTTATATAAATTTATTGTTGGATTCTAGTACTGGGATATATATCATTTTTATGAGTACGCCGAAATGTAGGCAACGAAAATGAAAATTTTACTTATGAATCTTTCGAAGTTAAAAAAAAATGTTTAAATAGTGAAAATATTTAATAACTTAATTTGTTAGATTAAAAAAATGTTATAAAAGAATTAACATAAATTTTAATAAAACAATTAATATATTAACATTTTCAAAATATTTTCAAATTTTATATTCTGATTTTAATTTTTGTTTTTGTTTATATTACCATTTTTTTGTTTTTGTTTATATTTCCTTTTTTTTTGTTTTACTCTCTTGGCTCCCCATCAATTTTGTGCTAATTTGTCATTAAGATTTTCTATGCTTTGATATGCCGGAAGCATTGTGAAAACAAGCAAGGCGATTTTGTCATTTCCTTGCTTAACTACACCCAAGATTTTTGTTTGGTAGTAGTCGGTAGGGGTACTACTACCAAACAAAAATCTGTCTAGAACATCTTTTACACCAACCAAATTAATTATGTGCCAAATCGCGATGGCGACAAATAAGCGTTTTCTGAAAACAAAAACAAAAATATGAAAAAAATAAAAGGGTGAAACATTAAAGTAAAAGAAATAAAATAAAATAGAGGGCAAAAATTAAAACAAAAAGAAGAAATTAAAACAAAAAAAAAGTAAATATATAAATAAAAAGAAAATAATAAAATAAAATAAATTAAAAAGCACTCAAACGATGCTGCCAAATTACAAAGGCGACCTTTTCGCGCAAAACACTTGCCCTCATAGCATTTTATATGCTTTTAAATAATTACATACAAAAAAAAAAAAGGAAAAAATTACAACAGAAATTAATCCGTTGCCCAAGCCAGTTGACATTTGACAGCATTTTTACTGAATTTTTTGCACTTGTATTTATAAGTATTTATGTATGTATTTATGTATGTATTATGTATGTATTTATAGTATACTTATGTACATATATGTACAAGAGTATTTGTATGTTTTATTACTAATTAATTATCACTAATGAGTTATCTGTCTAACCGTTTGTCATTTCTTTGTTTGCAGGATTTTTTGAAGAATTGAAGCGAATCTCTTTCGCACAATCCTCAGTACCCTGATGACCACGTCAGTGTGAACACGCGCTCAACCGCAGCATTGCAAATATAATATATATATATATATATATTTAGTATATATAAATGCACTCCGTTATACATACATACATATGTATGTACATATCTACATGCATAAATAAATAAGCGAGACAGCGTTGCATTTTAACACACAATTTGTTACTTTTTTCCCTCAACGATCGCTAACGACGCGCCAGTTGAGTTGTACGTAGCAACGGCAGCAGTCGTGCAGCAGTGAACTTCGAGCGTGTCGAGGGCAATAAAAGTGACGGCGCCAACCAAACAGCGCGCCCAAGCAGCAAGCAGCAAGTTCAAATAAATAATAAATATATAAACGAAAAGTAAATTACAATGGTTTTGATGATTAACTGATAACAGCAACAAAGAAGAAGTAGAAGTAGTGGAAGAACGACCGTCAGCACAAATTGCTATTTTTTCTGTTTTATTTTTGCCTTGTTATTGAATTTTATTGCCTGCGAGTACAATCAGCTGTGCGCAAGTAGCGAGTAAACTAACGCGAGCAATCAACCAGCGAATCAATTGACCATTAAATAAATAAAAAATAAAGTGGAAGAAAAAAAAAATAGAAAAAATGTAAAAGGAAAAAACACACACGCTTGCAATAAAACGCAAAATAATGGTTAAAGGATGAAAGCAACAATAACAATAAAACAAACAACAAAAAGTTGTGTGCTATAAATGCGAACAAAGTGATTAATATGCATTTTTATATTTATTTAATTTTTTTTTGAAATGGAAATGAAAATTATCAATTAATTTAAAGTGCAAGTAAACAAACTGAATTCGAAAAAAAAAATAAAGTAAAATAAAATACTATGAATTAAAATAAAATAAATCAAAATGAAATGGATTGAAATATGATTTTCTAAATTGCATTAAATGCAATAAAATAAAGAAAAAATAATAAAATAAAACAAAGAATAAATCAATTAAAGTTAGTTAAAAAATAAAGTGAAAAAATATTAAAAAATTGAAAAAATTCAAATATTAAATAATAAAATAAGAAAAAATTTAAAAATGAAAAAAACTATTTTATTTAAAATAGAACACAAATAACAGAAAAAAGATAGTAATCAAAAAAATATATGATAATAATAAAAATATCTAATCGCTTTAAAAATAAAAAAGTTTAAATAAAAGCAGTAAGTAAACTAAATAGAATCTTAAAAATAATTATTATGGATAAATTTTATTAAAATTACAATCAAATGGAATGATATATAAAATAAAATAAAATAAATAAAATAATAACACGAAAGAAAACAAACAAACGAAAGTAAATTATATAAAGCGAAGCAAAATAAAATTAAAATCTCATGAAATAATTTAAAAAAAAAATACAAAGTTTAAAGAATAAAAATTATGAAGAAATAATAAAAGGTTTAAAATAAAGGAAAATAAGAAATAAGAAATAAATAAATTAAAAAAAACTAGATAAATAAATTAGTAAAAAGAAAATTAAAAAAAAACTAAATAAAATACTGAAAATATTACAAAAAAATAGAATTATAAAGAAATAAACTAATTAAAAATAACAAAAAATATAAATTAAAGAAATTATAAAAAATAAAACACTAATAATCAAAAAAAATATATATATAAATAATACAAAAATAGAAAGAAGTTAATAAAAAAAATTGAAAAAGAATTAAAGCAAAATAAAAACCTTTAAACTATAAATAAGCAAATTAAAATAAATTTAAGGAAGTTAAAAAGATCAAGTAAAAGATTATGAAATATATAATAAAATACAACTAGCGAAGAAATAAAAAATAAAGGATTGACAAAAGTAAATAAAGAAATTGATTATAAGAAAACATAAATCATTATTTTAAAATAACAGTAACTAAAAAGAACTGAAAATAAAAAATGCATTTCCAGCAATAACTTAAAAATAAAAATAAAAATAAAAATAAAAATAAAAATAAAAATAAAGATAAAATAAAAAATTTTAATTATTTAGATAACTAAGAGGAAGGAATAGAATAAAACAGGATAAAATAAAACAAACGAAGATAAAATAAATAAAATTAATTTAAATAAAATAAAGCAAAATAATCTAAAATAAAGAAGTATATTGAAGTAAAAATGAAAAAAAAAATAAATAGATAAAGAATTCATAAAAAATTACATAAAAGAATGTTATGAAATTATAGAAAATAATTACAAAAATTATGAAATATACAGAAAAAAAATTTTAAATAAAGAAAATAAATAAAATTAAAATAATAACAAAGTAGAAAAAGAAAATGAAAAATAAAAATGCAAAGTGAAAACAACAATTTTTTAATTTACAAATCCAGCAGTAAGCTAAAAATAAATAAAAAATTAATTGAAATAATATAATTTAAAATAAAGCTGTTATCACACAAAATGGCAAAAAAAAACTATTATATTATTAACAAAAATTTATTTCAAATAATAAAATAAAAAAACTAAAATCATAATAAAAGATATAAAAAAAGTAAACTAAAAAGAATTAAATAAAAAATTAAAAAAGTAAATGTAGGCAAATTTAAGTAAAATAAAATAAAAGACTTAAAAAAATAAATAAAAAAATGAGGTTAAAAACCATTTATGAAAAAATAAATAAAATATAAATAAACTAAAAAATAAAAACGTAATAAAAGATATAAGAGGAAGATCAACTAAAAAAAAATTCAATGAAAAATTAGAAAAGTAACTTTAAATAAAATAAGAAAATAAAATAAAATGGTTGAACTAAAAAAAAATAAATAATAATAATTGAAGTTAAAAACGAAATATGAAAAAATTAACAAAGTATAAATAAAATAAAAAAGCCTATGAAAAAGTAAAAATATAATAATAAAAACAACGAAGAAAAGAAAAAAAGGAAATAAAAATATTAAAAATAGAAAAGTAAAAAATAGCCAATTCAGCATTAACTTAAGTAGAAGCGCATAAAGTTCACAATGTACACACACACATACATATGGACAGCGCTTAATGCAATTGAAATGTATAGAGTTTACTGAGTAAACATACAAACAGACAACAGCAATTAATTAATTAATTAACTCATTAACTAATTGATTTTTATTACTGTGCTATCGGCCAACGATACAAGCATATATGCATATATAAATAGTCTTCGAAAAAAAAAAAATAATATAAAATTCTTATAAAAATTTTAGGTATTTACAATAAAAATTTTTAGGTGAAACTTTAAAAGTGTTCCACATAGAAAAATACGGTAAAAGAGAAAAAGAAGAAGCTGCAGCGAACTTAAGTGAAGCAGCAACAATAAAAATAAAGCAAAATCAGAGAGAAACAAAAATAAATAAAGCGAAATTAAAAAATCGCGAAAAAGTAAAAAAAAAGCAGAAAGGCGTAAAATCAGTGCAACAAAAGAAGAAATCAAGCAACAACAACGCCATTACAACAATAAAAGAGCTTGTTAAATTAAATAAGAAATGTACTAACTGGTATAAAGCGAAATAAAATTAAAAATAAAAATTAAAATTACACACAAACACCTACATACACAACATACACCCACATTCGCACACTACAACAAACCGCTTTTCTTTCCGCAAAATACACGGGCCCCCCCTCCAACACGACCGCAACTCAAACAGCAGTGAAAGAATTTATCTGTGCGTGTGCGCCAATGTATGTGTATTTGTGTAAAGTAAAATAAAATAGAAGTGAAATTTTATTTTTTCGAACTCGTTTAAGTGTGGAAGTAAGTTGAAAATAATAAGAGATAGCAAAACCACAAAAACCACAGTAAGAAGGAAATCCATAACAAGCGCAGCAGCAACAATTGCAACAAAAACGACGACGACAACAACAACAACAGCAAATATGGAAGACAATAATACAAGTACGCCAATGAAGTCCGACGAATCAGTCACATTAACAATAAGGCTGATAATGCAAGGCAAGGTAAGTGAAGAAGTTGGCGATGAAGATGCCGGAGATGATAATGATGAGTGGCTAATTAAATTTCTTTTCCTACTTATTTAATGTGTGATTTGTAGTAGAAAAAAAAAAGAAATTCTCTTAAAGATATATGTGTATATAGATATATATATATAATGTTAACTGTGCATACTAATTAGTGGAAATTTACTTTTTATGCAGTGCAAACTAAAACTGCTTTTTCCTGAGTAGGAAATGCATAAGGATGTGAAAAGTTCTCAAATAACTAGAGCACATGCACAGGGTTATCCATTTCTTTCGAAGCTTTCGAAACAAAACGTAAATAAAAGGAATTTGAAATATATATTTTTTTTCCTGAAAGTTCCTTTTTATTCTAAAGTGTGATCCTTTTCATTATATAATATGTGGAATAATTCATCCATAAAATGACCGCCACGCGTTTTTTCACACACTTCGATCTGTTTGTGGTAATTTTCAACCCATTTTTGGTACATATTGGGCGTTATCTCAGCTTGAACTTGACGAGTGTTGGTTTGAAGTGCTCAAGAGTTAAAGATTTATCCTCATAAACAAGATATTCCGCGTCGTCCCACACAAAAATAGTCCAACGGCGTAAAATCGCAAGATGACGATGGCCAATTTACATCGCCAATAAGAGAGAGTACACTGCCGCGATATTGTCCTCGCATTAAAGCCATATTGTCGAAACCACATGTTGTCTACGACGGTTGCTGGCCCAACAAAAAATCGGTTATGATATGACTTTAACTCTCGGAATTGACAAAGGTAGTCTCGCTATTATCGTTTTAAAAGAAATATAGTCCAATCACACCACCGGACCAAGGAGCTCGCCAGACAGCAGTTTTTTTTTTTTTTTTTTTTTTTGGTGGTGGAGTTTTACTGCGGGGAGCTCTGTGAGACCGCAGAGGTCTTTGGGTGATTAATAAAAATGGGTAAACGGCTGAAGGCAATGAAATAGATGCTCTTGACGCGCTCGAGGGCTGACAGCATGGGGCTATGTAACGTGTAGACTACTTCCTATGTGTATTAAGGCTTGCACTGAACTTAAGATGACTCCAGCCATTGCACTGGTTGGTGGATGCAAGTGCAGCATAAATAAACTGTCGGTCCGGGTTTGGGTTTTACGCCGGGACGGAGGAGAAGGATTTGGAGCAGCCCAGCTGCGAAGTGCTGCTCCGTTGATGACCTTATACTAATGTCACTTGTTTGTCTAAACGGAGTTAGACCGCCGAAAGGATGACAGCCCTTGGCTAGCTAAAATCCGTTTTAAACTCCGATGCTTAGAACCGGCCGTCGCGGGGCTTTACATAGACCTTAAAACCAACACATCTAATCCCTCTCTTCCTTTGGTTCGAAACCGTCGAAATAGCTCGTTTCTCGGACCTCCAGTTGGATGACCTCGGTAGCTTGGATTAACTAACTTCTATTTAGCGGGGTTGGGAAGCAGCTACAGCAGTAACAACAACAACAATAACATCTGGTTAATTGTTGGCAGTAGAACTCAGACTTGACCATTTCGCCAGGTTGTAGCAGATCATGACAGACCAATCACTTCCTGTTATGGGGCGATGCCCAATGCCTCCGCTAACTCCTGACAACTTGCATGCTTGTCTTGCACCGCGAGGTGCAGAATTTCATCCATCTCTACTGTAGTTGACAGAACGTTGCCGAAAGTCAGATTGGAACAATGTAAGACCCAATACTCAACCACAAGAAATCATTGGTAGGAAAGTCTCATATACGCTTTATAAAGCGGTTTTGGAATTTTGTGTGTTCTTTTATATGAAAGGTAAAAATATTAATTTTTTCAGGTTAAATTTTTGCCCGGAAAAAAATTTTGTTAACCAAAATTCAATTTTGTTGATTAATTTTTTATTGCTTTTTTTAATTATTAATTTTTTTCTTTTATTTAGAAATAAGGCAGCCAATTTTTACATAATTTTTTTAAATTTTTTATGTTTTTAAATTTTTTTTTCGTTATTTCCCTGCCTTTTAGCGTATATATGTATTGAATTAAATTTTCTGCAAACGATTTATTTAGATTAATGCATCCGAAATGTCTCAAAATGATCAATGATAGCTAAAGAAATTATTTATAAACTTTGCATTTACATCATTTACATATATACATATGTATGTAGTTCATAGACTTATAAGTACAGACGTAAAAGAAAGAAATACGTAGCATCTGATGGCGGCGACCCTATAAGAAATTCGATTGCAAGACAAGAAAAGATGGCCAAGAATTTAAATTAGACAAAGTGAGGTATAATTTTTGAAAATATTATTTGTATATATACATTTATACGTTATTTGTATGAATATTGAAATGAAAATTGATATGAAATAAATTTTAATTTAAATGAAAAAACATTTCGTCATTCCTTCCTACCAAATTAGTAGAGATGAGAATTTCGAAAATGTCTCTCTACTCACCGGATGTAAGCCTAATTGATTAGGAGTGCCTCAGAGAAAGGTGTAAAAACTCGCATTCCTTTGTAAGTTGCACATCGAATTCCATAAAGTTTGAAGAGTATTTCAAATTCTTCTGAAGGGTGAGTCCGGAACCTTTTCTACTACTTTATTACTTATTTTGTTTTTAAAAGTGTAGTTGACCGAACTAAAAAATCAAAATCATTTGATGCTTTCTTCTTCCATTAGCCTGTCTTATACCATTTGATTGATTTGGTCAGCCTTAGTATGACTTGAGAAATTTCGGGTGAATTTTAAAGAATTCTAATTGAAATTTTTAAAAAAGTAAAGTAGATTTTTAGTAACAACGTTTTGTTCATTTTATAATTGCTACACAAACTAATTGTTCTAGAATTAAAATTTTGCTCCCAAAACTTATGTTTTTGTAAATTTAAAAAAAAGGTCAAAACTGTGCCGAGATATGTTCGATATTATCTTTCTCTTCGCATCACAGAACTCGCGTGAATCGAATACAGTGTTGCATTTATAAAAGATTGTCCAAAAATTGTCTTCAGCCTGCGTAAACATTTTTAATTTACTTAACCTTTTTAGTTTTTTTATTTATATATTATATAAATTAATTTTTTTGTATGTATATACATACATTATTTTAAAATTTTTTATAAATATATATAAAAATTCTTTTATTCTTATATTTAATTCTCTTATATAAATTAAAAGAAAAATATTTTAGTTTTTAATATATATTTTCATATATAAATTTTTATCTTTATATTTAAATTTTTATTTTTAAATAATTAATTTCGTATTTTAATATTTATTTCATATATAAATATTTATTTTTATGTTAAAATTTTTGTTTTTAGATATAAATTTGTATTTTTAAATTTACATTTTTATATTTTTATTATTATATTTGAATTTTTTTTTATTTTTAAATTTTCTTCTAATTTTTTTAGTTATTTTTTTATATAATATTTTATTAAATTTTAATTTTAATCTTTATCTATTATTATTTTTTATTTAAATATAAATATATAATTTTTTTTATTAAATTTTAATTTTAATATTTTCTGACTTCTGAAAACTTCCGGCAAATATGCAAATTTTCCCCACAGACCCACTTAAATTTTCCCCTGAGGTGGTCAGTTACTGTTTGTGCGCCTCTCTATATGCTAGTTGTTTGTTGTCTATCGAATGGGCACGACGAAGTGTATTGTTTGTGTATTTGTTGAATTATTTGTGTCCTCGCGTACGAGCTGCTGCATGCACATAACTTGAGTGGCTGCCAAAAACACAATTATTCTTAGGCCCTCAATGCATGTCTATGCATACTTACATATAATATATATGTACATAACATGGCATATAGCATGCACTTATTTAGTGTGCCACGTACATATGTATGTGAGTATGTATGAGAGTGTATATAATGGTCATTATAACGTTGGTCGATGTCGTTGACGTGTTGTCGCTGTTCATTACACGATATTACGATCAACTAAAGGTGCTGGGAAAAAATTTGAAAGCCGAGAGGGGAACTGAGAGGGTGCTCTAAAGCAGAAAAAGACTACTGAGAGGCGACTAGAGGGCAGTAGAAGAGTACTGAGGGGCGACTAGAAAGTCAAATGAGAGTACTGAAGAAGAAGAAGGGTATACCTAAAATAAGTAGGCAAGTGGTGGGGCTGCTAGCGTTGGGGTAAGGAGGCGCAATGACGACAGACGTTAGCTGAAGCTTAACATAAGAACTACATTTTGCATACTCTGCCCCTACAACTGCCTAACTTCTGCTGAAGATTTCGCCAAATATCTTTTTCTTTATTCAAATATGCCAGATTATTTTTGTATTTATTTTATTTTTATTTTTTATATTTTTGGTAATTTTTTTTTAATATTTTTTTTTCTTATTTGTTGTTATTTATATTTTGTTAGTTGTCAAATTATTATTATTATTTTTTTTTGTTTTCGCTTACAACAAACTTACATGGCAAGCACTCAGAGTCCCAGTGGCTTACAGCAGCAAAGCAGCAGCAAATCGAAGTGACCACATAAATTTTGCGTCATGTCCACTTTGTGCCTGCCATTCAGCCAACCATTACACCTGTCGCTGTGTGTTGCGAATATGTCTTTGGCGAGATATGCAAAACGTATATTGCAAAATCACATGTAAATGCTGCAAATCTAGATCTCTAAAAATCTGCACTAATGCCATTTTCATGGTAGGGTTAATTAAAAATTTTTACCCACACAAACGGACAAGACAGACAGTATTTGCGTGAATTTATGGTGTACAAATATATCTATTTGCGGTTGTATATTACATACATACTAACCTACAGTGTATGAAAATATTTGCACAAAAATCAGAAAAGAAAAAGGAATTCTATCATAGGAGGCTGAAATAATTTGTTTTCACCATCATTTAAGCGAAAAATGCGTAGAAAAGAAAAATTTATTTTTCAATTTAAAAAATTCTTTGTTAAATCTTCTCGTAATTGTAATCGGAAAAGGCCATTTTTAATGGCATTACCTAATTTGGGCGTATCGAA